ACGCTCTGCCGCAGGGAGCTGAGCTGGCACCCGCTGCCCCAGGAGCCTTGCAGTCAGGCTCTGTTCCGAGCTGTGCTGATTTGCACCGGCTGAGGATCTGGCCCCGATCTCATCATTAAGCCTTTATCTAATAGCAGCCGATTAGCAGAGAGAGGCCCTGGGGATTAATATCCACGGAACCAGATTGTTTCCTCCGTCTGCGCTGACAGTCAGTAGGCAGCCAAGTGCAGTGGGGGCTGGGAGGGATGGTCTGTCTCTGCTGCACGACTCCTGGTAACGCTCCAGGAGGTTAAAGAGCAGGAGGCTGCCCCTTCAAAGGAGCTGAAATCCCCCGGTGGTGCCAGGCGGTTTGGCGACTAGCCTGGGGGCACCACATTTCACCCATCCCAGAGCCACAAGGGCAGCTTGCCAGGACCCCTGCATGGCACCGCATTGCCCTTGCCTGCAGCAGCGCTCATCGGTAATAGAGCAGGACGTCATGTCCCGGGGCCGTGCGCCGTCTGGATCCCAGGGGCTGCTGCGGGCTGTCGTGTCCACCGGCTGCCCCGTGCATTCCTGTGCCGCTCCAGCTGGGCTTCCTTCATTCGGGGCTGAGCACGTGGAGCCATGTGCCTCTAGGCCCCCCACTCACTGACCACCCAGGGGAGGGAGGAATTGAGCAGGGCGTCCTGACTGCCCCTGAGAGCACGCGCTGCCCTGAGGCGGGAGGGCTTGTGCCAGACCATGGGCCCCTGCTCCCCTCTGTCGCATGCTGCAGCCCGTTCTTGGGCATTCAGGCCTTGTGATTTCCAGGGCTAGCAGCCCCCCAGCTCCCTGCCCCCAACTCCTGCTCCCTGCTGGCATGAAGGGGCTCCATCCTCCCTGCTCGTCCTGCAGACCCCTTCGTCCCCCGAGGACAGTGCAATGCCTGTGACACTGCGCAGGGGATCATGCTAGGGGCTGTGTCTCCCCCTTGCAGGGTGTACGAGTACCAGAAGATCCCGCCCCTTATTAATCGCATTCCGGTCAAGACCAGACGAGCCCACGTGGGGGCAGGGGGCAAGAGCAGCCTGATCCCCCACCCGGGGCCGAGAGGCAGCAGCAACGCACCATTGGGTCGGACAAAGCGTAAGCGTAACGGCTCGCGGGGGCGGGCGGGGGCTAACTGGAGGGGATGCTAGGGACACTGAGGATCGCTGCTTTAGGAAGTGGAGAGTGTCCTGGGGAGGGCGAGGCCACAGGACAAGGCTTGGGTAGAGCGTGGCTCAGGGGGAGCACGCCTGGGGCGGGGGCTGCTCAGCACGGCTTGCCGGAAGCACATTCTCCATAGGAAGGAGCCTGCTGTCGAGAGCCCCCAGCCCGAGCAGCGAAAGAACTTCGCCTTTAAACAGGTTTTACAGGCCACTGTCTCCAAAACCTGCTCCAGGAAAGCAGCGCCTGGGCTCGGCTGCCTGGTGTGTGAGTTTGACAGGCCCAGCATTTGCAAACGTAGGTGCCCCCGAAGCTGGGACCTTCCAACGTGCCAAGGGATTTGGGGAGCCTTGTGGAGGGGCCCTCAAAGGGGCCTGATATTCCAGAACCCAGGCCCCTTCCAGGTGCCTCCAGGGGGGAAAAGCTTGGCCCAACTGCTGTGCATTTAGAAGAGGAAATACACAGCAGGTGCAAAGGGAGACAGGGACCTGCCCGCAGCTTGGAGGTTCAGATGGCAGCACCCAGCACTTAACTGATGCTTAACCACCAAGAGCTGAGTGTGCAGAATGGCTCTGAGGTGGGCCGCCCAGCCAGGCTGCCGGCCCCGCCGGGATCGCCCTCCCCATCGTTTCCAGGCTAGGTCCATCTCCACCGAGCTAATGGCCTCTCCTCCTCCCTCGTCAGTGCGTGCCGAAGAGCTGCATTCCATCAAGGGAGAGCTGAGCCAGATCAAAGCCCAGGTGGACAATCTGCTGGAGAGTCTGGATCGGATGGACCAGCGGCGGGAGCGGCTGGCTGGGGAGAGAGGTGAGAGGAGAGGAGAGGCGAGGGGATGGGTGGGGGAGGCTGTCAGAGCATTGGGTGTGCACAAGTAGGCACGTAGGCTGCTTGTGATCATGTGCCCCCATATGGAGCTGTGAAGGCCCAGCATCCGGGCAGGAACCCCCCCACACACACACACACGAGAGCGTACGCAGGGACGCCCCTGAACTGGTTCTGAGTACAGCTCCAGAGATGGCCCGGGGGCTGCAGTGTGGCCCGAGCTGCGCTGTGCAGAGAGGATAGGTGCAATGCTAACCCGGCTGGTCCATTGCCTCCTAGGAACCTCCCCCGCCAGGCTCGCAAGCAGGACACTGCAGCCTGCTTCTTTGGGAGGGTTCGGGGTGACTATCGGGCTCCTGGCTGGCTGCCGCATGGCCCTGGTTTGGCTATCACAGACTAACAGCCCTTTGGCCTGGGGCATTTCCCTAGTGCCCTGTGAGCCCGTCCCTCCTGGGCAGAGCACAGAGCAGCCAGAGATCTCTGCTGTCTAGGGGCTGCTCTGATCTTGCAGGCTCCAAGGAGGGGGAGAAGAAGAAGAAGGCTCAAGTGAGCGAAGAGCCCTCGTACCCGGCGGGGGAGCCGCAAGGGAAGGAGAGCCCAGCTGCTGATGCGCAAAGCGACCTGAGGGACATCGACAGTGAGGAGGAGAGCACAGACACCGAGGAGACGGTAGGTCCCAGCAGAGCTGCTCTGTCCTGGGTAGGGCTGCCAACCGTCTAATCACACAAACACAAACCCCGCCCCTTCGCTGAGGCCCCACCCTCTCATTCCATCCCCCCTCTCTCCGTCGCTGGCTCTCCCCCACCCGCTCTCACTTTCACTGGGCTGGGGCAGGGGGTTGGGGTTCGGGAGGGGCAAGGAGCCTGCCTTAGCCCTGCTGCACCACTGGACTTTTAGTGCCTAAAATCTCCCGGTTTGGCTTCAGTAGCTTCCAGCAGAGAGCGCCCATTCCGGGAGCCTCCCGGCGAAACCGGCAGGGTTGGCAGGCCTAGGCATGGGCCCTGCATGGCCTAGGCAGGGAGAGAGCTTTCTCTGGGCTTTAGCCAAAGGGCCCTCACTTGCCTGCGTGGGGAAATGTGCTGGGCATTCCCCTGAGCCACAGGAACGCCCATCTCCCAGCCCGTGTACCTCGGCCTGTGTCCCCCCCATGACCACCCTCCTCACGCCAGGCTCCCCTGCACACATCCAGCTGCGTTTGCAGGAGCTGCGCTATGGGAGAGGGAGGGCTGCTGAGTGCGTGTAGCTGCTGGTGCGGGCGTGCGGAGAGATGGGCACCGAGGCCAGGGGCGTGGCATTGTGTGTGCCTAGTGCCATGAATTAGTTGCTGGTTTTCAAGCTGGGGCCACCTGAGCTGAGTGCTGCTAGAATAGAGTTTTGGGAGACGCTTGGCCTCCCTGCAGGACACAGATTCCCCTGGGCTGTATCCCTAGCCAGCCAGCCCCCCTCCAGGCCAGAGCTGGCATGCCCAGGGCACAGACACTGTAAACACGCCTGGAGCGAGGAGATGCCCAGGGAGCAGGCGCCATCTGCTGCACACAACCCTGCCACGGTGCCTTGCCTGGCTGCATCCTAGCTGGGTGCCTTGGCAACCCCTCCAGTGATGCAGGTGAGCCAGTCAACGTGGCAGCCCCAGCCCCCCTTCCCCCCCCGGGACACTCAGGAAATTTAAAGGGAACAACACAGGGGCTGTTAAACAATTTTCTAACAAGATGGCTTGTAACAGAGCATCATGATTTTGAAACAAATCCGTCTCATTTACTACTTTAATTCCTAAGACAAATTACTACTAACAATAAATCAGGGCACCTTTGTCAGCGAGTGATCCTGGGTATGCTTTGTCATTGTCCCAGACAGGTGGAGCAGGGCAACGGCAGAGCCCTGCCATCTCCCTGCCATCACTGACCCACGGGTAGTCGTGTGCACACACGAGCAGAGGCCGTGCACAGGACCCACGGGTAGTCATGTGCACACACACACAGGGGCTGCACACAGGACCCATGGGTGGCCATATGTGCCCACACGAGCAGGAGCTGTGCACAAGGACCCCCGGGTAGTCATGTGCACAAGGACCCCTGGGTAGTCGTGTGCACAGGGACCCGCAGGTAGCCATGTGCACATGAGCGGGACCGCACACAGGGCCCATGTGTTTTGGTACATGTGGCCGACAAGGATGAATAATGTAATGTAGTAATCTCTTTGCAGATGAAAAACCACACGTCAGACCCGGAGGGCAGCCAGTAACCGGACTGGGGCGCCACAGCCTTCCCCAGGTTGGCTAGCATTTCCTTTCCTGTGTTTGTATTTCTTTCAAGGCCGCCAGCTGGTGCCACACATGACATGAGTGTACCTGGTCTCAGCGCTAGCGCAACAAAGCTGTGTCCCGCGCCTCATCATTTCCGCCAGCACCAGACCCCACCACGCGGAGGGAAATCTCGGTGTTATGATTGTTCCTTTTAGCAGGGGGGGAAATGTAGTGTGGGGGAAGGGCAGGTAGAAAGCCCCCCGAGGAGCTAGACTGTCTGGACCCTGGTGGCGTATTTAAGACCCATGTAGAAATCCAGGCAGCCCTCGCTTTGTCCGCAACCTGCACTGTTGGAACAAGAGGGTGTGTTGCTCTGTTGGCTCCCAGGCCATGCCATTGCTGTATGCAGCCTTGTGCCATGCAAGGGACCCACTGTCTCCCACTGCAGGGTTCCCCCTCCCAGGCCCTACATCACCCTCTCCCGCTCAGGGACTAGCTCAGGCCACGTGCAGCATCGGTGCAGGATGGAGCGCCCGTCATTCCCTGTTTTTCCTGTGTGCCTCACTGTGGCTTCTTGCCCTGCCTCTGGGCCTTGATTGGTTGAGAGACGCCTGGTGCCACAGGAAAAACACCCTGGGTTTGGCCACTCTGCTCAAATGCCAGCTTCATCCGGAGCAGAACAGGGACCTCCTGGGGGACCCTTCCCATCGCCTCTCTGCGTGACCCACGTCACGGAGCTCAGTGAACCTTGCAATGAAGCGTGCCTAGAAAGAGCCAAAATGTCACCCACTCATGGCCCCAGCAGACCGACGCTCTCGCCCAAGTCAACATTTAAGGCCCCCGAGTTCTCGCTGCACCAGGTCGTTCAGAGCAGGATTTCCATGCCCCGATGGGATGGTCAGGCTCTTGCAGTCCGGCAGAGCGAGCAGGGAAGCAGCAGGCATTTATTCCTGCCTCAGTCAATGCCTCCCACAAGGGCTAGCGCAGGGCTGCAGCGTGGTGACCCGCAGACAAAACGCTCCAGGACTAGACTTGCTGCTTCCTTGTGGTGCTCATGGAAATCTCAACGAGGCAGAGCTCTGCTGGGACAGAACTGGATTGTCAGCTACAGCTCGTACCCTGGGGCTCAGCCACGTCCCCAGCGTTCAGTCCCCCAGCCAAGGCTGCAGCATCTCTCCGAATCGCTGCTCACTCTGCAGAGGCATGGCTGTTAACCAAGGGGGATCCCTTCCCCCCGGGGCTGCTAGAGTAACAAACATTCCCCCTTCTGTGGAATCACTAGGAAACCACAGAGCGAGAAATATCATTTCCATGTGCCAGGCCTTTTAGAGGCAGGCAGAGACAGACTCCCTGGCCTGGAGATTTTACATCTAAACCGCAAGGTTGGAGGACAGCACTGGGAGGCAGGTTTGAGCTCTACACCCAGCTCTGACACTGGCCTGCTAGGTAACCTTGGCCAAGTCACTTTGCCAAGTCTCTTGTGCCTCAGTTTCCCCAGCTGCGAAAGAGGGACAATATACAAGCCACTGCACAGGTTCATTGGGAGACTTTATCTGCCGACCTGTACGTGAAACATTTGGACCTGGCTTCACTAGGAAAAAGGTGTGGTTAACCTATGTAACAATCCTAATGTAAACACGGCCTTTGTTTTTAGCCTGTCTTATGAGGAGGGGTATTTGTTTTATAGAGCACCCAAGTGCTCTAGCTCCAGGACCCCAATGCGTGAAGTGCTGTACAAACACCCAACATGAAGATGATCCGTGCCCCGTAGAGCTCACGTGCCAAGAGCTGGAGCCAGGCAGCCGGGGGCACAAGGGACCAATGACAGCACTGATCAGCAGGACAGGCTGAGCGCTCAGCACTCCAGCAGCCTCGTTGTTGTTTGTTGGCATCGCAGCAAAGGAGAGTTTTAAGGAAGGGTTGGAAGGTGGATAATGAGGCAGCTCCAGGGATGCTGACGGAGCGCAGCTACCACATGGGAGAGGCAGCCTGGGCAAGCACAAAGGGGCGGGTTTGAAGCTGTAACAAGTGGGTGATGGAGATTGGCCTCGTGGTCTAGTCAGAGGCAGGAGCCAGCATCTCGCTAGTGACCAAGAGACGGTAGGTTGGGTGGGGACAGGCTGTGAAGGGCCCCAGAAGTGAGGACAAAGGCTTCCTTCCATTTGATGCGCTAGAAAGGGAGACTGGTCATAGCAAACACGAGGGGGAGCCACTGGTTCACGTTGACCAGCTACAACTTGCCTTGTCTACACTGGGATTTTAACACAGGTTAAAAATACAGCTTGATTCCTAGTGAAGACACAGCCTTTGAGACCCACAAATGGAAAGGGCTTCAAGTGCTTGGTACTGCTATTACGTGGATGCTGGTAACAGCCCAGGCAGCGTGGCTGAGAAACCGCCATCAAGCCAGTGCCCCTCTGTGGCTGCGCAGAGCACCCCTAAGAAGCTGTAGCTGTTTGCAAACTGGATAGCTTTGATTTTCCGCTGGCTCAGAAAAGGTTTTTCCTTTAGTCTCACATGGCTTCTATATACCGTGCTACGTGATATGGTTCATAGTCACTTACTAGGAATTCCATGAGCTGCTTTACCAGAAATAAAAGAGGAGTGTGATTATTTTCCCAGCAGGCTAATTCCTGCTACGTGAACAATGACATGCCCGTGCTTTGGGTTGTTTCACCTTCACCCAAAGAACCTGTATTCCCCCTCTGCCCCCATACTACTGTGTTTTGGAACAATTGTAGCTCCTTTCCGTGTCCCTCATTTCTAGGTAGTCTCTCTCACGCTGGTAGGAAATTGTGTCTGTATTTCTAATTTGCTCTGGAAAAAGAGTGTATTTGTGTTGGAAGGAAAAATAATAAATTTGTATTTCTTTTCTCTGGTTATTCGGGAGTCTGATGCTTTGATTTTCACATCGGAGAGAGAACAGCCTTTGTCCAACTGCCGTTAGACAATGTCCCGGTTCTGGACTGCAGGGAACTGCTAGATTGGGTTTCTATAGCACCCATCTAGCCAAGTATTCTAGATGCCCAACAACACGAGTAACTGACTCATGCCAGCTCTAATTAAAATCATCAGTAAAATCAACATGCCCCACGCCAGACCTCTGGGAATAATCTTGCTGTAAAAAGGGGACCATGGAACTAGCTGCCTCTTACAGGGAGGAAATGATGTGGCCACAAGCCCCCAGACTTCTATGGCTGCATCCCCTAAGGCCTCCGGAAACAGGATTGTGTGGCTAGAGAGAGAAAGGTCACTTGGACACAGCCCATTTCAGATGTTTGATTAAAACTAAAATCTTAATCTCTGCCTCACAGAGGCAGCCGGGGGAGTAAAATGAATGCACTAGTAGATAAGCGATTGAAAAGACTTAGCGGGCTAGGTCATTTAGACCACCCCCCTGCTAACACAGGATTGTCCCTGTGCTATAGTATTTTGTGCATTGTGCAGTTTCATTGTAAATGACTGACAGATGAGATGCTGGGAAGGTCATTACACAGGGAGTGGACGGCCCCTTTCTGCACTAGAAGCAGATCATGGCTGTCTCATACTCTGGGTTTGTATAGGGCCTAGCACAAGGGAGACCTGATCTCAATGAATGGGGCTGGTTGGGAGCAGGGGTGTAAATTGGGAGTGGGAATCTACCTCCATCTGGGAGCTTGCCCCAGGATTTAAAAAATGCCGTCATGGAAGGAAGGATAACACTGCCCCTCCTCCACCCAGCCCTTGTGCAGGGGCAGAGCACTGCCTGGGCAGTTTTCCTCTGGCTTCTGGGGGGCTGATATTTGATAAGAACTGAATCAGTTTCAATACAGCTGCCCCAGTGACAGGAGCAGAACGAAGCGGTGAAAGGGTAGAGGACTTGGAACGAAGAGTGGAGGGCATAGAAGCCACACCACCAAAAGGCAAGCATACACCAGATGGAAATAAACCCAGGAGGAGCCCAAACAGAGACGGGGGGAGAATGAAATGGCAGAATTCCTTCATTTTAGGGTAGAGAGTGTATCTGAGTTTCTTTCAGTTACCAGCCTAGTTAACTGTGGTAGTGAATTGGATTGGGAGGTGAAAAATACATCAGAAATAAGACATCTCTGCCTACAATGTCTGAAACCCATCTGAAAGATGTGTGCGCAAATTCCCCTACAGACAAACATGACATCAAACTGATTGGCAAAAAATGTGTATAGCTTTCTTGAGCCTGGAGAATAAATAGACAGGATGGGTAGCATGATATTGAGTGAAATAGCTAGCTTCCTCTGCGATACCTAATTGAGCTAATAACATATACAGTTTTTGACCCAAGGAAGGAAACTTTTGTGCTCTGATATTTTGTGTATAAGTTATTTATTGCTCTAATTAGATGCTGTTCATTATCTCCCTTGTGCACCTATAACATTGTAAATGGCTCGCTTTGATTTGTTCATGTGTGACTAGAAATTGAGCTGGACCTACTCTGTTATGGAGATTTATGGACAAACTGTAGAGATGCCAGAGCTTACGGACAGAACAGACCGTAGTCTGTGGTTACATTTTCTTAAACCTGACGAGCAGAGTGTCATTTTAGTGTCCTCTTCCTGTTCCCTCACTACGGCACAGCTAACCACTTTCCACTGCTGAACTGTGAGAGGAAGAGTGTCCCTCTACCGAACCTTCAACATCCCCACCAGATGCGACTTGGCTAGTCACACCCTTTACCTCCCTCATAGAGATGTTGTGAAGCTTAATTTCCCAAGGCCTGTGAAGTGCTTTGAGATCCTCCAATGGACTGTGCTACGCAGCGAAGAGTTATTTATTATTTGTCTTATAAACTGGCCTCTCTGCTTCAAGAGGGTCATATCATAGTCACTGGCCAAGGACTTCCTAGAACCCAGCCCCACCCTGAGGGAAAGGATTGGTCACTCTCCATAGCACTATCTACCTACACCCAGCCTTATGGAGATCGGGGACAGCTGGATCTATCCCCAGTCTAGACAGACTTTTAGAAGGCACAGTCAGGAGTACTAGCACGTAAGGCTGGCCTGTCTCTTTAGTTCACTTAACCCTAAGCTTCTCCAATTTACCTTGGTAAGGGACATTGGCCCTCACCTCAGAGGGGCTCCTCTTTCCTCATTTCGTGCCACCTCTTGCCCTGACACCGGTACAGAGGCCTTGATGCAGAGTGCTTCCAGATCAGTGTATCAGCTGCTAGGTAACAAACAGGTTATTAATTACCTTCTTCCGCCATATTTCCTAGCAACCGTCAGCTGACAAATGACTCGAGAGCTCTCTAAAACAACCCTTAACTCAAAGCATTCTGCCTGCTGCAGCTCTGGTCGATTTCTGGTACCAGTTACAACTCACCACGGGAGAGAAATTCAGACACTTTAAATCATCTTCCTTCCACCCCTGATCCATGTTCATCCACGGTACTCTCTAGCTTGTCTTCAGCCCAGAGCTACAACCAATAGTGGCTATAACTAAAGATCAGCAAACAAGCTGAAAGAGTTTTGCACAAGCCCACTCTATTACCTGCATGTCCAACCAATAATCAACCTTCCTGGAAGGCAGCTGAGACAGCACATAACTCCAGCCAGTATCAGACTGATGTCTCCCTCCTCAGCCCAAACAAAGTGTTTTATAAAATTAAAAAGTCACCCGTGCATTCTACTTTGTAAGCCTTTGCCTGGCGTAAGTTAGTGTGCTGTTCTGCCAGTGACAAATAGTTGCTAGAGGATGGCCTAATGGTTATGATGTCATCCAGGACACCTGGGTTCAATTCCCTGCTCCACTAGACTCACTTAGGGCCAGGTCTTCACTGCAAAAACAGATG